TCTTTTAACAAAAATGTTGAATTAATTATATGCGTTTCTTATTTCCTCGAATAGTTAATTAATTTGACAAAGAAAACAATTATCATCAATGTCATAAGTAATTAATATATTTCTTCTTAATATTATTAAGCTCACGTACAGTTGAATACAGCATGGCTGAGCGATATATAATCATTTTGCTCATTTATAATCTTTATGGCAGCTTCCTCGATTTAATCATTTAGTTTTTTATATACATATATAATCTATGTCTATTTCACTGACAGAAAACCATATTAAATCTGACTAATGAATAAAAATAATTATTAATATCTACACGCCCACTAAGCCAATAAGCAGCACAGCATTGTTAAGAAAACAGATGAATGATTTAATTTTATCTCAAAGGACCAAAAGATTAACTGATTTAGTGTATAAGTTAAACAGTTCAACTAATTTTAATTAATAAAGGCACAGAAGTAGTGGTTTAATTAACATTTAGACTGAACTATTAATAATTCAGAAGCACTAATATCCCTTTTACCCTCATTAATAATGTTATTCACGTTGTTGTTGTTGTTTCTGCTGCTAAGCAAAGACCAACAATAAAACCTAAGCACTTCGTGCAATTTTCTCGTAATCCCTACAGAAAAATAATTTGTTTTCCCACTGCTCTTTATAATATAAAATAAAATAGCAAGTACAGAAGAGAAGAAAAAAACAAGTTAATTCCGTTGTAGTCCTTCTTTCCCTCTGCAAGTATTTATATAATTGATGCATTGTAGGTGTAATGAACACAGGAAAGTTCCTTTATTTTGTATAGCCATGGTATTAACATATCGACTTTCATTTGCAATTGCAAATACATACAATCAAAAATAATCAATTCTCTATATCAGATTCAGATTCAGCTTCGACTTTTTACATTCTCAACTTTATTACATTTTCCCTTGTATTTTATTACAAAAGCTTCGGTAGCTAGTAATGAACTAGTAATGCTGCATACATGCTTTCATTCAGAAAATTTTTATGCTACTGCAACTTCTATTGAAAATGTGAAAGTCCGTGTCATTATTATCAACGTCAAGCCACAGACTCTATTATGTATAAAAAAATCTGTCATATCAACTGTCGGTCCATACATCAGTAATCCAGCTAGCTGTTGCTAACCGAAAGCAGTGCAGAGTAGCAGTGTCTCATATTATGAAAAGCATGCTTACTATTTTCAAATTGATATGAAACCTTGTCGATTGTAGTACTACTACACTACTATACTACTACAACAGAGCAGCATAACCCAATCGAACCTTGAACCTCGAAAAATGAGTACCGCAACAACAGCAACATAAAGCTGCAACAATAAGTACAAAAAAATTTGATTTAGCTGCCATTGTAAAAATGAAAACTTTCAGATTATATTACAGCAAATTTTTTCCTTTTTATAGTTTTGACTTATCTTCACAGTGGCTTTCACATTACACACAAACATCGCTCTTACAGTCGAGATGGTGTATATGTCGGTTGTTGGGTTGGTTACCACACCCATTTTTATTATACTTCATTTTGTACGGATTGTATGAATCTATTCAATTATTCGATTTCTCTGATTTTTCTGAATTTTCTCCTTTATTTTCTGTTAAAATTACTCTTTCTCCTTTTTCGTTGTTGTGGTTTTCAACTTAATCAGTTTCACTATTGTTTGTTTTTAGTGTTTTTTGTTAGCTAGCCTGAGCGTTTTTCATAACAGTGTCCTATTATTTTTTTTTTCTTCTTTTTTTTGAAACCATACAAATTTTTTTCATTTATTATTAGAGGTTTTTTTCCCTTTTTTTTTTGGTAAGCTAACCTAACAAAAGCAAAAAATGGCGTCGCAGTTCCTGCTTAATGGCGCCAACATGGCCGTCATAGTGGTGCGTAAAATGTATCAACATTGAAATTATATAAAGCTACCTCCCGCTATGCGGGTAGTCATGGAGTTTCCATTGTTGTTGTTTCGGTACATGCTGCAGCCCTACTCATTCCCCGTTCTGATGGCGGCTAGAACGTCGTACTTAATACTGGGTGAGGTAAGAATGTCTGCGTCTGCAGTAACATTCTTTTGCATCATTAAGTATGGGTGAAATTATGAAAATGTGGTAAACAAACCGTCAGCTGCTACTAAGCAATTCCATCTTCTTGCCATTTTATTCTTTCCTTTTTGCATACTTTAATATTAATACAAAATAAATTGAGGTCTTTAAAGTATGCAAAAATAGATTCAATTAAGTGTCATTAGATTCAATAAAATTAGAACCTTTAAGGAACTTTTTGTTCTACTAAAAACAACTATTTTTATGATTAAAAAAATTTTTATTGCATTTTCTAAGAGTTGCAATTTTAGTTTTAATATCAAACTCGCATTTTTCATTACAATTTTATAAAAATCGATAAAACTGTCAATGCAGAAAATTATTACTTTTCTCTTATAACTTCTATAATCCTTTAAAATTCCTTTTAAAGTCCTTTTGAGTCCTTTTGTGTAGGTAGAGGATTGCAATATATTTGCATTGCTTCTAATGGAAATTATTTCAATATGTATGGCATTTCAGGATAAAGAAAGAAATTATATATTAAGAAAAATACTTTTGTGCGTATCAATAAAGAGAGAATGTATACAATAACGAATAATTTTAAAGCTCTTTCTATCACAAGTAAATATTTAAAAAATCAATATTTAAGAATTGTGATATTCGAAAAATATACAACATCCTTTCTGAAAAATTATTTTAAAATTTGCTAAAGATTTGGGATATTTTTTAGGCCTTCGATTGTTATATAGCAATACAATAAGACAACAAATTTATATGGATTCCTATAATTACCACTGTAGCCTAACCGAAGCCTATACAGTAAAACTAAATCCTCATGTAAAAGAGGAAAGAGTGACGTATTTTGGCATAAACAAGGAATAGTTATTTTAATAACAGTTGAAATATTTTTGAAATTTCAAATTAAAATTGATTTTTGATTTTTTATATAAAGCAGAATTATAATATTATTATAATATAATTTCATTATACATGTACATTAGATTTCAATCTACCATAAAATGTGCTAAAATGATCTAAATGACCTGAACACCCTACTACTATTTAAAATCATATTTGTTTTACTTTAAAACAAATAAGTAAATACCTAAACAAGTAATAGGTATAGAGAAAAGTAATAGGTATAGAGAAAAGTGTCCAATACTTTTCATAAGATTTATTCTTAAATATATATAAATTTAATTTAAGTTTATCACGTTGTAGAATATTACACATACTGCAAGTGAAGGTAAGATAAATATTTCACAATTTGATATAGAAATTGGAAGAATCAGTCTTAACATGGAAATTAGTTTTTGTCTTTTAAAAGATAAATATGAATTTAATTTAAAAAAAATAATCATAAGATTTAAACACTCAGACAAATCTTCCAATTATGGGTGCTGTTCAAATATGTATCTACTATCTTATCGTAAACCATCAAATCCTTTATCAGGAACAAACTTAATTATTTTATAATATTTATCTGGCAAATAAACAGAAAAAAATGTTTCATTATGGTTATCATCTCATTGTAATTAGTGTTAATTTAGGCATATTTGTCGCAACAAATGTTTTATTATGGTTATTATCTCATTGTAAATTAGTATTTTTTTAGGCACATACGCAACACAAAAATACCGCGACAAAATGTATATAAAGCAAAGAAATATACTAAATAAATCAGTACTTTACAACTACTCAACTTGTGTAATGTCATTTTAAACAGTTCCAATATATAGTTCACAAACACTGTGTATTGCTGAAACCCACTTATGGATTTCCCATTAAATATTTTAACCTTTGTATCTACATACTCATACTATGATGTGACTTTGATATTTAAATGATATTATAATTTAATCAAATTTTAATTGTGAACTTATAGTGACGACTAATATAATCGTCTACCGGAATATACATTGCACATACCAGGAGGTGTTGGACTTATCCCTTTGATCAAAACCAAGTAAACACGTGTGTTTATATAAAATACATGCTTTCTTTAACCCTTTCATGTTGTTAGGGGTTTTTATATGTACATACTCTAGTGTGTTGGGTTTTTTTTATGTGCAAATCATAGATTTTAGTTCATACATTTTCTCATTACTTTAACTTAAAACTTTTATTTTATTAACACACTTAACATAACAAACATTTTACTCATTTTTGAATTGAGATTTATTTTCTAAGTGTGGTGAAAAAATAAGCTAATGTTGATATGTGGTGGGTTATGCACATTTACTACTAAAATGATACATGAAAAGGTGACTTCGCGTGTTGAATAAAAAATGCAACTAACATATGTGTTTGAGGTGAAATTTCTTTCTTAAATGCATTTTTGTGATTATTACTATATAGCGATTTACTACAATAAGTGATTTTTGTCAAATGTATTGTGTCAAATGTATTGGGTTGGCAGAAAAGTAATTTTAATTTTTAAAAAAAAAACGTTATTTAATATTAATAAATATCAAAAAAGGTTTTCCTGCCTTAGTTCAAATAATGCAGAGAAATCAATTATATGTCGCATATATATTGATATTACATGTGATATATTGAGCTAAATATTTATTTAAATTTTAAAAAATATCACACATCATTTTGATTTTGTGTTTGAAAACATTTAATAAATTTTTTACTGGTAAAGGACTCGAGTCCTTTATTTCACTAGAAATTTTATTATTAGCACAAATGTAACTAATAATTATTATCAATTATCTATGTAAGAAATTTTCTGCAATATTAGTTATTAGATTTTTGTACAATTTCATTATATATTGAAACCAAAATAACTTCTCAACCAACCACTTCGTTGTATTATCTTTATAGTGCTTGTAGGAAAGAAAAAGTGAAATATCATTTTTTATGTGAAATAAATTGCATTGTTTTATTACTTTTCCGATAACAAGATTTATAACTACCTTTCCGTATATATTTATTCACTCATTTGTTACATTTGTCTACTATTTTTGCCACTTTTTAGAACTTTTCTGATATGCTGTATATACGTTTAACGCTCACACATTTCCGCCTTAAGCGTTCACACTCAATTTCACGGAAATCAGCATGCGATGAAGAACACGAACCCACCGCAAATTCACGTTCATCTGCGGTTTCCTGATCACTACCGCACGAGGCCAGTGAAGCTGACCCGGCTGATGCGGAACCAGAACTCGTTGTTGAATCGTCACTGTCTGACTCTTCGGTACTAAATGAACCGTTTGAACTATGTTGTGGTTGTTGTTTTATTAGTTTTTGTTGTGTGGCGTTTATTGTTTTTACTACGGCACTTTGTTCTAGTTCGTTGTTGTAATTGTTGTTGTTATTATTGTTATTACTTAATATGGCACGTTTTAGATCTAACACTAAAGGAGACGGTGCCACAACTGGTTGTTGACAATCAAATGTATTGCCTACCAAACCAGGTTGTGTGGTTATCACACCAGCGGGCACACCCAGCACACTCGATGATTCTGGAAAAATGCGGTTATCTGAGCTGGAAGAGAATTTCGAAAGCAATGACTTTGCAGAATTTTTATTTTTTAATTGCTGTTGCTGCAAGTGGTAATAATCACGCGGCAATGATGAAGTGGCATGCAATTCTTGTGACTCGTAAACACTCCGATGAGCTGGTCGAAAACCACCGTTCAATGCTGACGTACTCACTGAGTGACTTTCGATATTTTGTTTTTCCTGTTGATGTTGTTGAGCACGTAAATCACTAATCACACTTGCCGTTGAGGCCGTCGGAGTAGTGGAGGGTGTTAGCGTTGCTAACTGTGCGCCCAGCAGCGGAGTTAAATTTGCTAAGAACTGTTCCTGTTGTTGTTGTTGTCGCTGTTCGTCGAGCTGTCGACGATAGGCATCGATTTGATCGCTGGCAGAAGGTGCGGAACTATGCATGCATCCTTGAAAGAAATCTAATGCTTCGTATAGGATAAAACATAGCCCAAGGACAATAAATGTCTCCATCATATTAAATTAAAAGCCAACGGCATTTTAAAATAAAACACAAAACACTGCAGCGTTGCGCTTTACATCACACCAGCACGCCAAATCGAGAGGATATTGTTTGTTTTTAGTATTTATGATTTTATTTCGTGTTAACTTTTATTCTTAATTAGGTGTAAATGTGCATATATTGTTTATTTTTATATAATTTATGCATTGTACTCGTAAGTGCATTGTACTGTAAATAATTTCAAGCCTAAAGTATACATCGAGATAAGCTTTAATTTTTAAACAAAAATGTTGTGTTCTTTTTATATCCAACAAAATGTGCAAAATTTGCCAGCAAAATAACAAAATTCAGAAAAAGGAAAAGTAAATACAGAAAGCATAAATATGGAAATAAAAATGCAAACAAAGTACCACACAATAATACGAACTCAGCACTTAAAATAAATAAATTATTACACTTGCACTTGCTTAATGATTTATTGAAATACATCGTGTAAAAAATAATCTGTAATTATTTTAAATATTGTTTAATATGCTGCATTAAATGAGCTTTCAATATTCAATTTGATAAAAAAAATCAATGAAATAATAAAACATAAAGTGGCAGCGGAAGCAGGACTAGTGAAACTGTACATTTTTATGTGATCGTTAAACATTCATAATGAAGCTGAAAGCTTGTGCCACAAAATGCATTTTCATATAGAGACTCATACATTTAAGTAAAAATAATTGTATATATACATGGGTAGATATGCGTCATATAAAACCAAAATATAAACGTATGCAAGTCAAACCTAACCGCACACATGCTCGACATCCACACCCACTGCGTCAATTTCTATATACAAACTGTAAAGCTATGGCACGTCAATAAATAAATTTGTGAGTAAAAATCGGTAAACCGAAGCAAGTGCTTGCAACAGCCTCTCTGTTACCAGAAACATCCCCTACACTAAAATGTATATCTGCACTCTTATACACACGTGTACATACGTAAATACATAATTATAATATTTATATATTATACCTTAGAGCGCAAAAGGTAAAAGTGCAAAAATTAATAAGCTGCATCACAAAATGCCAAAGATAAAAAATTTAAAATATTATAAAAGATAGTAGAAAAAGTTAATTAAATAATTAAAATAACTATAACATATGTGTTCGCCCATAATCACTCCCACACTCAAGTAGAAGGCGTCACTAACACTCACTATTATATACGATAGTTGTAATAACTGGTAATTAAATATAAAGTACAAAGTCAAATAAATTGTAAAAATTAATAAAAAAGAGAAAAATTAATTTTATACACACTTTTGTATTTCCTTATAATCAAATATAGAAATTCTAAATATTTAATATAATATTTATTATAATAAGCTACTGTTACTATAAACATTTACTAACTAATCAGTTTCAATATACAGTAAAATATTAAATAATATTTATTTAACTGTGTAAGTTTGCTCAGAAATTGGCAACCAAATCATTAAAGCCCACACTGCGTATACGTAACGTCATTAAATTGCATTCAGTGTTTACCTATTGTTTCCCAATGCATACAAAGCATATTAGAGCACACACACACACACACACACACACATTTTGTTCCTTCGATGATATTGACAAATAAATTATTTACTTTTGGTTGTGTTCAGTTGCCAATGTGTTTATTTTGTTGTAAATTAAATTTTCAACCTGCACAGGATCAAACGATTATGGACACGTTTAGGCAAATACGACAAGTCAATTTCCATTTTAATATTAACAATGTTGACCTAATTCGGACTACCATATTCTGAGCTAAGCTATTATAATTTATAATATTATTTCGCACTTAAACTCGATAGGGAAATAGGGATTGGAATGTATAAATTAGATCATTTTTGCAGGTAAAACTGATGAAGTATATAGATTGTTAAATGATTGGAATGTGAAGGCAAGGATAAAGCTTTGTTTTCAGCAGACGAACTGATAATATCGAATTCTATGACATATGATTAAGGAAGACAAATTGCCACTGGGAAAAAAACATAGAATTAGATTCAAACGAAAACGTTTTGACCAACTACTAATTACGGAGTTATGCGTATTAGAAACTTCTTCAATATGTCGATAAAAAATAATCTGAAGCAAACATTTACAGAGATATGAAAACTATATTTAAACGCAATAACAGTATGTAAATATGGCATACCTTGATAGGTTTGCTTGTGATTAGATGGGAAAAAAAGTAGGAAAAAAAAGCAATTGAATCTTCGTTATACCGATGTGTGACTTTTTTTTCTCAATATTCTCAATATTCATCGCTGAAACCAAGTGGTTAATCAAAAAATAGATGAGAAAATAAGTGAGATCCATATGGTATTACAATGAGTCCTAGATCAAAAGTTTGTCCTGTTAAAGTCTGCTATTATGATAGCAATAAATAAATATTTTTGGAACAATTTTATATAAATTTGTAAGTTATAATAGAAACAAAAAAAAAGTTTTAATTATTATTATGTTGAGGCTAGTTGAGCCAGTGCACTTAAGTACTTTTACTCTCTATAAACTGCGAGGTTTCATCATAACTCCTCTCAACACCCTGACTGGATTATTGTTTATCACTTCATCAGTCTAACCAATAACTGACCTCAGATCTGCATACCTCTCCGAGGACGCTGTAATCATTCTGAGATAACGATAACGTGGTGTTGGTAAGCCTGTCAGTTTTCGTAACTAGTTTAAGAACTCTATCCTTTATGTATATATTTCAGTATTTCAATATTTCAATAATAATTCTTTTTATACGTACATCAAAATGTATATTTTCTATAAAGAAAACTTTAATTAAAAATTATTTATATTTTTACTATTTAGAAACTAATTTTATTTATGCAATTAAAAATATTTATCCAAAAGTTAATAACATCATTTTATTTCTAATATTTTGGAGATATTTTGGATTTACAAATGATAACAAGAAAACTTCTAAAACTAAATATTCCACAAAATTTTTGTTATTAATTTTTAACTTTGTAAATTCGCTTGAATAATTTCAAACTAAATTTTAATTAAAAACAACAAAAAGGAAAATTAAAGAACTACAAAGCAAAGTACGCAAATTGCAACAAACAAAATTAAGCAATTCCAGTCTATGCGTTCCACTTTACTAGGCCAGCCGCTCACTCAGTTCCATATACAAAAGTTTGACTGGCGAAGTTCGAGGAATACTGCCATGGTGTTGCCACCGCACCACAGCTACCAATTTAAATTATTTTTATGCACACCCATTGAAATGCGGTAACTAGGAACAGTGCTCGGTTGAATTACCAACAACAACAGACAACAAACAAAGACTTCAACTACAACAACAAGAACAACTCCATTCGCAACAGTGCTTTTTTGTATGTAAAAATAGCGAAGCTGATACAATACAAAAGCCATCAAATCCTGTACACCTACAAACCACGCGGCAGGCAAAGGATGAGATACAAATGTTCGCAGCTATTTCAAGGGTATGCGAATTGAATGGATTGTCACTTTGAATTAAAAAACGGAAGTGGAAGGCTTTGCGGTTGCGGCTTACATGCAATCAAACAAGCAAACAAGCAAACAAAGCCTACAATGAAACTGGCGAAAAATAGCTAAAAATGAGGATTGCTGAGGCTTAGAACCGATGCGAGTAGTCGCAGATAAGTGTTTGGATTAGAGAGAATTCGCATTGCTGTAGTTGAACTAAATGTATGCCGTTTATCTCATTAAAGGAAACATCTTTGATATCGAACTTTGCGCAATTTAATTTGTACTTTATTTTGTAAATTAGAATGCCTCTGAGCAAAATTCGGCTGCCATTCGTGCCGCAAAACAGCAACAGCAACAACAAAACGATGAACTCATCACCAGCAAAAATAGAAGCAGTAACAGCAGCCACATTAGCGCAATCAGCAAAATTCCACTATGACACTACCGGAGCACACCCACATGACACTCCTAGCCACCCATTTAGTCAGTGCTCGTAGCGGTTGAGGAGCCGTCGTGGCTGCCTTCAATTAGAATATCGAAAATTTGATTTTCATGAAGAGAAATTAAATATCTTTTTTTCTTTCCTGTTGTTCTGCTGCTGTTTTACGGCTGTTTTGTTGTTGGGAATGAAAATTCAAAGCAAAACTTGCTCGTGTTTGGTAATTTGTTCAATTATCAGTAAACGCAAAAGCATCTTACAGATAAGCAATTCCGAAAATTTGTAATTTTGCATTTAAATGAATTATGCTTGGCATAGTTTAAGGCGTTGCCATTAAAGTTGAATAAATTGAATAAATTGTTTCGAAACGTGAGTGGGGTGCGAAAATATCTGCAAACACACAGACCAAAGTGTGAAATAAAATATTTCAAAAAACTGTTTTGCTTTAAATATTCGTCAAAGTTTTAATAGAAAGAAAGAATCAAAATTTATAAAGCTTTTGCTTTTAAACAATTTGAAATAGCATTTTGGCTTGAATTTAAAGTATCGCTGAGTGTTAGCAAATTCATATTTTACATAAAAATAGGAATTACATATGAACATATGATCATAACAAAAGGATATATCACTTAAAATTTAACATAAAATATTGTTCAGTACTACTAACAACATGCCTAGAGCTTTTACAAATTTATCTCGGTCAGAATCTGATATTCCGAAGTCATATCATATATGTCTGAGTTAGTTTATGGTTATTCAGTACTCTTTTGAGTTCTATCGCATTTTTAATGCATGTATAACCTCACATAATCACTTTTACACAAAACAACGCAGTATTATGTCTTATGCGGATCGTCTATAAGGCATATTGAATGAAATTTAAACAAAAACTCCACTAACATCCTTTAATTGAGTCATTTTTAAGGCACATAATAACACTTTAAAGCAGATTAGCTAACTACAGCTATTGTTTTTGAATATATTCAAGACCTGTACAGTCTATTCTGATTAAAGGAGCCGATTTTCACCAAACACAGTTATTATTTCGGCATACATTTTTATTGCAGTT